GTGGGGAGGGGAAAGTACGTGATGGGCATTGAGGAGGGCACTTGTTGGGATGAGCACTGGGTGTTTTATGTAAGCAGTGAATCATGAAGCCAAGAGCACACCATATACACTGTATGTAAGCTAATTTGACAATAAATTATATATAAAATTTATTTCCATATATAATTTCCATATATATAAGGTATATAGTGCAAAGTTTGGAGACACCATGTATAAGCATCCAAAAGTTCTCTCTTAGTGGAGTCACATAGGACATGCGTAATTATTCCAGCAACAAACTGTGACACATGAAATATTGTCTACCAGATAAGCTCATTAGAGACTCAGTACCCAGGGTTTTTTTACTGGTAGCTGGTCATATAGATACGCAGTGCCTACCATGTACCAAAAATCCATACTCCCAGAAGGAAAGCAATTGTTCAGGATAAAGCACATTGTTTTGCACGGTTTCGGCACAGGGAGCCACTCTTATCAGTACTCGGGATAGTGGAAACCCCGGCAACTTACTAGATGCCAGCCACGGGCCAATCTTGTAAATAGGCCTATTTAAGGATAAAAGTTTCATCCCTGCTATATTATTTTCTACACACCATGTAAGATTCAGTACATAGCTAGTTTAGGAATGCTTGAGATTTCAGTCTCCTGAAGAGCCAGAAAGGTCAGGGCACCATCTCAGTTTGTACTGTGTAATTGTTAAGATCGTTCCAAATTTTGTATCAGCCCAATAGTTTTCCTCCCTTCTGTTTCAAGAGAGACAAACCACAAAGTAGCTTATCCATCCAATTTTCTTAAGTCCCTTTCAGGCTTTAGTATTGGCCTGTTACCTTTCACTATTGGCTTTGCTGACCTAGCCTCTTTGACTTTCCCTTAGTAAATAAGGTGCTATAGACACTTACTTATAAGCTTATTGCTTTTTCTTTCATAGCAAATCTGCTCCAAGATTTCTAAGAAATCTTCCCATTTCTGGGCTTCAGTGGTCTATGAACTATGTGGCTGTCATACCCACTTAGAGGTTATGGTGTTCCATATCTCGGTGGCTACCTGGGCTCTAGCCATTGTAGTTTGGCTATGAAATTTGCCTCTCTGGGGCTTTTGTGACTATATATAATATGGCCACCAAGATACTGGCCATTCTAACTCAACATTTTGTCTGACATAAGGCTTCCAGTTGGTTTATTTTCCACCTCAGTGGTGACCCAATCAAACTATTTCTGTTTTCAAAAGCTATAATATCCAGGTAAGTCATATACAACTAAGTACAATGTATATTTTTATAATAAATCATATTTGTAAAAAAAATAAACAACTAGAGTAGAAGCAGAATACATGCAATATTCCAAACTCTCATTTTGCACAAGGAATGTTTGGGCTAGAGATAACTTGATGAATAATGGAGAGTACTCTAAGGAAAGGATCCTATTCACATACTAGTTTATATATTTATAGAGAAATTCGGAGGGGTGCACATAAAAATAGATGATTCTGTAACTATGAAACTCCCCGAGGAAGGGGAAGTAGACATGTCAATAAAAGAACATTTGGAGGGAGTTCGCAGTTCAATATTACAGGTATCAGTCAAAGATTTTGAGAATCTCTGCCAAGTTACCAACTAGGGAAAGCGAAATGTCCACCAGGGCCATGGAAGAGAAAATATGTTTATCATCCTTACTGGCCAGCCATTTGTTTTTTTACTATTATAATAGTTTCCCTTTCTTTGTTTATTATAATTTCCTTATTTTATAGTTTAAGTCCTATTTTTTATTATTTCAGTATTAACAATAGCTGTTATTTGTAGCTAGTCAACATTTTCAGTGTAAGGTATATTTACACATTACAAACTATTTCTAAGTAGTCCATTAGCCTAGTATTTTAATATTTCATTTTTTCAGGTTTTTAGTCATTTGTTTTTATCGAATCTTTTCTATTTTTTTAAGTTCCTTTCTAGTTGAAGAGGCTGAAACTAATTACTATGAAGAATTTGACCAATGATAATTATAATTTTTAAAATTATAAAAGTTTGATAATTTTTGACTGTTAGTTTTACATTTGCTATATTGAACTTTTCCTATAAAGTTAATTTTTAGAATCATTTAAGATTATACTACACACTTTGAATCCTAGATGTTTTGTTTTCCTTGCATATAGGAATACATTCCATATATTCTATTATTGCAGATAAGAATATCAAATCCATCCTCCTCTATATTTCCATTGATAATTAAAAGTTCAGTGTATATGTGAATACTTACAAGAGAATTTTTTTTTCCTAAGGGAGGAGGGAAATGACCTGGGGATTGTGTTGACAGTTTAGAAAATGGATAGAGTTAATAAGGAAAGCTGAAAAAAAGAAGGTATTGAAACAGAAACAGACAAAACAACTTACTTGGGCAGTAATTCAGTGGAGATCTTTAATTTTGCCTGGATGACAATGTGTTAAAAGGGTGTCTATGATGATATGCCTAACAGACTGTGATTTTATACATCTATTTGTTTGGTGAGAAAAGGACGCAGTGCTCAGATCTTCAGAATTAACAAATGCTTTAGCAAGCAAGAGATTTATTCTTTTTTTAAAATGGGGTTTATTTATTTTCAGAGAGGGGGACAGAGAGAGAGAGAGAGAGAGAGAGACATAGATATCAGGGGTGGGGTAAAGAGAGTGAGAGAGAGAGAGAAACTGAAGCAGACTCCGTGCTGTCTGTGTAGAGCTGGATGTGGGGCTCAATCTCATGAATCATGTGATCATGACCTAAGCCAAAACTGAGAGTCAGACGTTCAACTGACTGAGCCACCCAGATGCTCCAAGAAATTTATTCTTTATATTACTTCAGTAATGTTGAAGACTGTCATGTAGCATACTATCAACATGCTTATATCAAAGCTGTTGAAATACACGCTCATACATATACTATTATATTGTGGTGTTTTAACATGGACTGATGACTAGAAAGGATTTTAATCAAAAATGGACAACAAATTATTCAAATTTAGCAAATGTGGATAGGGCAAATCATTATTTATTCTGTGTGAATATAGACTGCTTTACATAGACTGCCTGTCCTCTTCCTCTTCTTTCCCTCTTCCTCCTCCTTTTCTTCATTTTCCTCTTCTTTTCTTTTATCATCCAAACAAACATCAGAGCTTGTAAGTATGCCTGTCTCCACTTCTTAGAGCTATCTGTTTGGCTGATGTGAGCTTGAACGTAGTACTGCTTACACACCTTTCTAACATTTTTCATTCTTGTTTCCCCTCAGGAGAATTATTATTCAATTATTATTCAACACTATTATTCAGTAGTGTTATTCAATAGTTCTTTATGGTTGTGGGAGCCAATACAAGTGGGAAATGCTTGCATGTGGGAGTATGGTTATAAATAAACTTGGTATTATATTCTTTTTATTGTATTTAATGTCTTGTTCTCGAGATTGCCACACTTTGTCTCTATTGTTATAATAGGATAATTTATCTGTGTAGAATCAAGTGATTAATGATTCCCCTAATGAGCATTTCAAAATCTTTAAAAATATTTGCTTTCTACTTATAGCTATGTGGGAATATTAGTGTCAGGAGTGGTGATTTGTGTATAGCCTCAGTATGTTTGTAAAAAAGCATAAATTTATATCATATACTTGAACAATTGTTATGCTTTAGTGGCCTAAGGTAACAGTCCTATAGGATATATCTTCAAAAATGTTTTCCAGAAGAGTGTTAGACTATTTTATAACCAGTCATTTAAAATTCAAATACCTAATAAAAGTATTAAATCATGTTTGAAGTTGAGATATAACTCTTTTTTTTTTTTAATTTTTATGTATTTCTAGGAGAGAGAGAGAGAGACAGCATGAGCAGGGGAGGGTCAGAGAGAGAGGGAGATACAGACTCTGAAACAGGCTCCAGGCTCTGAGCTGGCAGTCATCACAGAGCCCGACGTGGGGCTCGAACCCACGAACCGCGAGATCATGACCTAAGCGAAAGTCGGACGCTTAACCGACTAAGCCACCCAGGCGCCCCGAGATATAACTCTTAATTTAGGACAGGCAGCCACCTATTCTCTTCACTTTAATATTGGAATTTATTTTATAACACAAAAATTTGTTTGTCATATTTATATTTCTTTTTAATCATCAGTTATCTTACCCTTTTGGTCTCAGAATTGTCCTCCATACCCATCCTTTTTATAATCCAAACTCCGGTGTTTGAAATTCATCCTAAACTAACAGATTAAGATGGGCAGCAGTAGTTAACGTTGTAAAATTTTGCATCCATGTGACTAAAATTCAGATTATTTTAGACATTGCAATGAATCTTAGGCAAATCATATTAACTGGATATGTTATATATCTGTATAAAATGAAGAACCATCAAACTCTGTTGCATTTGATAGGTCTAAAACTATGTTAAATTCTATAGAACATAGGTAGTTTGACTATTTAAATTTTCATCAAAACTGGAAAGCTGGGACAGGCATAAGCTGAGACTGTGCAGATAAATGATAGCATATGGTTGCCTTAGTTCTGGAAACTTAAACTGATCCTGCTAAATTGTGAAAAATAAATACTTATTTTCTTGAAGAAATCTAACTCAGAGTTAGAAATCCATTCTTATGGAAGACAATGATATTTTAGTATTAAAACTGCTATAGAGAAATTTTTATTTTTATTCTGAAATGAAATTGTGGAAAAACAACTTTGAAATAAATGTTCTAAAGGACATTCTCCAAAATAGCTTGTGCTCAACTTTGACCAAATATTTTTTGTTCTGTGGCCTTTTATGATCTTGAATAGCTCTTATGTTAAGTATTTTAAATGATACTTAATTCTGTTTTAAATCCCAGAATATATTTTATCTTCAACTATCTACCAGCAACTTCATATTTGCATTACCATTAATTAATAATTATGATTGCTATTTAATATTCATATAGATTATGAAAATGATTCTTCAGATACAAATAAAAAATGTTCGTCACATAATCTAATACCAGGTGTTTTGTAATTCTAAAGCTCAGAGAAGAAAAGAGCTAGCTCTGCTATTTCAGATCTTTCACAGATCCTAAAGTCTCAAGATGGATCAGATTTTTTAAGGAATTCAAATGAAGTTTCAGCTGACAAAGACCTATCCCATATGCTTCCATTAAAGACCCATGATAAATTATTAACAAGATTATTGTCAAACAAAGAGATAGAAGATTTACTATCTGTCAATACATCACTTCGAGGGAAGGAAGCAGTAACAGCATCATTCATTTTACCCCCTGTTACTAAAAAAAAGCTAATGCATAGTGACATCTCAAAGGTAAGATATAGTACAATATTTTTTTTTATAGTACAATATTTTGATAGCTGTTTATTTTGAATTACTAGACTCCTTTAATATTTTAAGTAAATGTTAATTAAAACTCATTAATATGTTCTTATTTAAAGTGAATAAAAAGTATGCCTTTTAACAATCTGTTTTATAGTAGAATGTTTAATATTTGAGAATTGTAATATTTTAACAGAAAATTAATGTCCTAACTGAGACAGAAATTTTCATTTCAGGTTCATCTAAAAAAAAATATTTTTATACAATAAGGTAATTGTGAAAGCATAGTTGTTTTGAGATGATTTTATATACCTGAAACAAGCCCTAGAAAATTATCAGACTTGCTTTTGTTAAAACAGTATTTGATTAGGAAAATCTTAGAACAAAAATGCTGGGTAGACATGATAAAAAGACTATTTATATTTGATATATATCTACAATATATTTTTATCATAGAAATGATTAGTGACCTTAAGAATAATTTCATAATCCATTTGAGTTAGTCTAGAGATTGAATCAGACTAAACTAGAATTATGATCATTATTAACATGATTTATTTAGAATTATTTATGAGGAGAATCACAATATAGTTTGGGTTCCCTCCACAAATACCTTTCAGATCCATTAATGTTCTCATGTTATTTTATTTGATACATTCAGGATATAAAAGTAAAACATTGCTGCAATAACATTGTAAATATGTGTAAAAATATTCTAGCTCTGGAAGAAAGTAATCAGAGTTCCAAAATACATAATTTGAAATTACTTATTATAACTTTTATTATTAAGGCTGCTGTTGTAGAAGAGAAATTACAAAGTAAGACTGAAAAACAAACTTACCACAAAGCAAGAGAATTTCAAGGTAAAAAATTTTTCTGTTTTATAATTTTCTGATTGTATATTCCCATGGTATAATTATAAATAAGTGGAAGAAAAATATTATTAAATATAGAAATGACTCCTAGGACAGTGGTCACATACTATATAAATATATTGACCAATATGTAAAAATTATTTGGGTGGGTTAACATTATATTACCCAAATAATTTATTTCAATTAAAATCTATGTAAAAAGGAAGTGATAGCTTTGCCTCAAACAAATAACAGTATTTGGCATTATGAATTTTTAATATAAGATATCATGTCAAAAATTCATCAAGGGACAGCAGAGAAAAAGATGATTTGTGGTATAAATAATATTTTAGCTAGATTCTTTAGGTGTTTTATATAGTATATTTTATATATTTTAAAACAATGATAAATTTGTTCTTCCTAACCAATATATACAAGTTTAATAATTGACCCCTATCTTACTGCATTGGCTTGAACTTTCAGAACAAAATTAAATGGTTGCCATGTGGCAGGCAGGAGAGTTACTCTTCTATTGTGCTTTGAGATGAGAGTATCTCTACTGTTTCACATATGTTACCAGATTATCTGACATAAATATTCCTATGATCATGATGTTTTCTCTTTTCATAATAAAATAATAAAATTTTATTACAAATTTTTAAAAAATATTTTTATTTATTTCTAGGAGAGAGAGAGAGAGATAGAGACAGCCAGAGCAGGGGAGGGCCAGAGAGAGAGGGAGACACAGACTCTGAAACAGACTCCAGGCTCTGAGCTGGCAGTCAGCACAGAGCCCGGCGCGGGTCTCGAACCCACAAACCGCGAGATCATGACCTAAGCGAAAGTCGGACGCTTAACCGACTAAGCCACCCAGGCGCCCCGAAAATTTTATTACAAATTTTAACTAGCAGTTGGCCTGAATTTTATCAATCTACTAATTTTTTTTATTGTGCTAAAATACACACAGCATAAAATTTGCCACTTTAATCATCTTTAAGTGTACAATTCAGTAGCATTAGTGACATTCATGATATTGTGCAACCATCCCTACATCGATTTCCACAAGTTTTCATCACCGCCAAAAGAAACTCATTAAGTAATAATTCCCATTCCTGCCATCTATTGAGCTCCAGGTAGCCTCTATTTACTTTCTATCTCTATGAATGTGCCTATTATATTTAATGTAAGTGGAATAATATAGCATTTGTCATTTTGTGTCTGACCTGTTTCACTTAGCATGTTTTCAAACTTTAGATTGTAGCACATGTCAGAATTTTGCTCTTTTTTAATGGCTGAATAATATTTCATTGCATGGATATATCACATTTTGTTTATCCATGTACCTGCTGATGAACAATTGGGTTGCTTCCATCTTTTGACTATTGTGAGTAATGCTGCAGTGAACATGGTGTACAACAGCTATTTAAGTATCTGGTGTCAATTATTTTGAGTGGGAGTGTAATATCTGGATCATATGATAATTCTAATTTTAGCTTTCTGAGGAACTGTGTATTGATTTTATATCCTGCAGCTTTACTAAATTCATTGCTCATATTTCACAGTTTTTAGTTTTGGGGATTTTCTTTTTTTTTTAATAGTTTATTGTCAAGTTGGTTTCCATATAATGCCCAGTGCTCATCCTAGTTTTGGGGATTTTCAATAGACCATCAACCCCTGAGTAATGCAGAAGTGGGGCACTAATCCCCTGTGCAGTAAAAAATATGTGTGTAACTTAACTTCCCCAAACCTAACTAGTAATAGCCTACTGTTGACCAGAAGCCTTACCAATAATAACATAACAATTAACACATATTTTATGTGTTATATGTGTTATATACTGCATTCTTAACAGTAAAGCAAGCTAGAGAAAAGAAAATGTTAAGAAAATCATAAGGAAGAGAAACTACAGTACAGTACTGTACTGCATTTCTTAGAAAGAGTCTGCATATAAGTGGACCTATGCAGTTCAAACCCATGTTGTTCAAGAGTCAATTGTGCAAAATCTTGCAATCATCTGCAAAATCATCTGCAAATAATGAAACTTTTAATTCTTTCTTTGCTATTTGGATGCCTTTTATTTCTTTGTCTTGCCTGATTGTTCCAGCTAGAACTTCTAGCACTGTGTTGAATAGGAGTGGTGACAATGGGTACACTTGTCTTGTACCTGATAGAGGAAAAGCTTTAAATTTTTCTTCACTGAGTATAATATTAGCTGTGTGTGTGTCATATATGGCCTTTCTTTTGTTGACTTACATACCTTCTATACCTAAGCTGTTGAGGGTTTTTATCATGAAGAATGTTATATTTTGCCAAATGCTTTTTTCTACATCTATTAAGGCATTAATATGATTTTGATTTTTTATTTGATTAAATGAATTGTGATATGTCACAATTATTGATTTTTGTATGATGAAATATCCTGTATCCCAAGGTTAAGTTGCACTTGGTCATAGTGTATGATCCGGTAGTTTTCTTTTCTTGTACTGTCCATATCCAGCATTTGGAATCAAGTAATACTAGACTTATACAATGTGTTTGGAAATGTTCCTTCCTCCTCAAATTTTGGGAAGAGTTTGAGAACGATTTGCATTAGCTTTTCTTTAAATGTTTTGTAGAATTCACCAGTTAAACAATTTGGTTGTTGAGTTTTCTATGTTGGGAAGTTTTTGACTGCATTTTACTATCCTTACTTGCTATTGGTCTTTCAGACTTTCTGTCTCTTCCTGCTTCAGTCCTGGTAGGTTGTATAGTTCTAGGAACTTATCATTTCTTCTAGTTATCTAATTTCTTGGCTTATATTTGTTCATATTAGCCTCACGATCCTATGAATTTCTGTCCTGTAAGTTGTCATTTCTCCTCTTTCATTCTGGTTTTGTTTATCATTTTTTTTCTTAATTAGTCTTGCTAAAGGTTTGCCAATTTTGTTTATCTTTTGGGGAAAAAACTATTCTTGTTGATCTTTTGCATCATTTTTCTGGGCTTTATTTCATCTCTTTTCATTCTTACCTTTATTATTTCCTTACTTCAGCTATGATTGGGCTTAATTTGTTCTTCCCTTCCAGTTCTTTGAGGTATGAAATTAGATCATTTATTTGCCCTCTTTTTAATTTCTTAAATGGTTGACCCTTGAACAACACAGGCTTGAACTTCTTGGGTCCACTTAATAAGTTTTTTCTTTCAATAAATACAGGGCAGTACCATAAGTGCATTTTCCTTATAATTTAAAATTTTTTTAATTTAAATTGCAATTAGTTAACTTACAGTGTAATATTAGTTTTACATGTACAATATAGTGATTCAACATTTCCATACATCACCCAGTGCTCATCACAAGTGCCCTTCTTAATACCTGTTTTACCCATTCCCCCCCCTTCTGGTAACTACCAGTTTATTCTTTATAGTTAAGAATCTGTTTCTTGGTTTTTCTCTTTCTCTCTCTCTCTCTCTTTTTCCCCTTGCTTATTTATTTTGTTTCTTAAATTCCACATTCAAGTGAAATCATATGGTATTTGTCTTTTTCTGACTGACTTATGCTGCTTAGCATAATACTTTCTTGGGGCGCCTGGGTGGCTCAGTCAGTTAAGACTCTGACTTCAGCTCAGGTCATGATTTCACAGCTTATGAGTTTGAGCCCTTTGCCAGGCCCTGTGCTGACATTCCAGAGCCTGGAGCCTTTTTTGGATTTTTTATCTTCCTCTCTCCCTGCCCCTCTCCTTCCCTCCCTCCCCCCCATATAAAAAAAAAAAAAAAAAAACCTCTCTAGCTCCATCCATGTTATTGCAAAGAACAAGATCTCATTCTTTTTTATGGCTGGGTAATATTCCATTGTATATATGCTACTTTTCTTTACCATTCATCAGTTGATGGACACTTGGGCTTTTTCCATAGTTTGGCTATTGTAGATAATGCTACTATCTGTTAAGTTCATTTGATTCAGTGTGTCATTCAAAGCCATTGTTTCCCTTTTGATTTTATGTTTAGATCATCTGTCCATTGATATAAATGGGGGCTTAAAATCCCCTACATTAGTATTATTGTATTATTATTGATTTGTTCCTTTATGTTTTTTATTGTTTTATATATTTCAGTGCTTTCATGTTGGATGCATAAATATTAACAATTGTTATGTCTTCTTGTCAAATTGTCTCCTTTATGATTATATAGTTTCCCTCTTTGTCTCTTGTTACAGTCTTTGTTTTAAATCCTATTTGGTCTGATAAAAATATTGCGACTGCAAATTTCTTCTGACATCCATTTGCATGGTAGAATTTTCCCCCCTTCCCTTCCCTTTCAATCTGCAAGTATCTTTAGGTCTAAAATCAGTCTCTTGTAAGCAGCATATAGATGGGTCTTATGTGTGTGTGTGTGTGTGTGTGTGTATTTTAATCCATTCTGTCACTCTGGGTCTTTTGATTGTGGCATTTAGTCCATTTACATTCAACATCATTATTGATGTATTTGTATTTGTTGTCATTTTGTTACTTATTTTGTGTATGTTTATATAGTTTTTCTGTGATCTTTTCTTTCTCTCCTTCATGGTTTGCTGGTTTACTTTAGTGATATACTTAGATTCCTTTCTCTTTATTCTTTGCATATCGCTTAGTGTTTTTTTTTATTTAAAATAAGCAATATATTCATTAAAGACATTTTTTTACAATACAGGCAGTTGTTAAAAACTTAGTAGATTTTTTCTTTTTAACGTTTTTAAATTTATTTTGAGAGAGAGTGAGTGGGGAAAGAGCAAGAAGAGAGGAAGAAAGAATCCACAGCAGCCTCCATTGCTGTCTGCAGGGAGCCCAATGTGGGGCTCGATATCACAAAACCACAAGAGCATGACCTGAGCTAAAATAGAGAAGTCAAATGTTCAGCTGACTGAGCCACCCAGGCACCCTGGAATTAAAAACAAAACAAAACATTTTTTTTGTAATTCCAAAAATAATTTTGACAGACATGAGGAAGGATGGAAGAGCTGAATTATTTCAGGGTCCCTGATTAGTGCTTTCTGTCTAGTTTAGTGAGGTAAGTAAAGATTCATAAGGGAAATCACATTTTAAGAAACCATGGTGATGAAAATCACATTAGCCTGGTATCATACCATCTAAATAAAAGGAAGATTGGTAACCAAGATATATAATCTAAACTATATTTATAAGATCCTACTCTTAGTAATTGATATAGCTAGTATATGCAATATAAGAATAATTATTACCATTTATTTAACACCTATTATTTGCCATACATTGTGCTAAGTGATGTGCAAATGTGATTTATAATTCTGAAAATCATTCTTAGGTAGATGGCTAAACCTGTTTTTTGAAATAGAAAAAGGAAATTAAGCTTATTAAAGTTCAATGACTCTTCTAAGGCCATACAGCTAGCTGGTAGGTGTTAGAACTGGGATTGAATCCAAGTTTTTATTCCACACCACACAGCACCTACTATATAGAAAATTAACAAAACAAATTGCTGTTATTATTTTATCCAAATTTCATTTGTAAAATTCCATACATGACCTATCATTTTGATATGGCAATATCTAACTTTCATCATATTAATAAGTAATTAAGAAAACCTATCATGTTCTTATTACAAGTTTAGAAAACAGTGTTATCACAGATAACAATAAGCTATTCTTGTTCTCAGTTCCAATAATTTAGAACCTATTACTCAAGACAGGAAGCCTTTTGATTCAAATCTAAAATACAGTATTCTATTTAGTCATAAGCACAAAAATAATTTTTGAATCATTTTTGCATAAGAAGCCAGCCTGCATTTGTGTATAATACAATATTAAACTAAGAAATCCTTGAAGAAGTCACAGTGTTGACAGAATTCAACATTATGCTGGACCCTACAAAGACACAGGAAACAAAGCAAGGCTCTTCTACATACGATAAATCCTTACAATGATTTTAAGTCTGTGTCTCTACATGCCGCACATATTTCCCAATGTCTTCTTGATGAAATACTAGAATCATCATGGGGTCTACTTTCCTGCAGTCTTGTGTGGACTTTACTGCCACCCCAAAATCCAAAAGGACATCTGCCATGGAGTATACCACCACTCCCTGGTATTGGACAAGTTAATTTCAGTGATTTGACCCAGTCCAGATTTCAACACATGGTTCCCATATAGGGAAGATTGCTCTACTCCAGGCCTTATCCACACTTTATATTTGACATAGGGTGGAAGGTAATCCAGAGGTGTGATGTGCAACTGGATCTTGTGAGTCTTAGTGAATTTTATGAAACAGATCCTCAATGACACCAGCTTGCCCCAGAGATGTTGTCAGCCAACTTCAGGATCCTCTCACTCACGTACTACACCCAGTAATTGTGCAGCTTCAAACATTAGTGCCATTTGGCTTGTTGACAAGGAGCTGAAGATTTCCCCTGATGTATTTTGCTACCTCAGACATTATGCATGTCTTTTTTTTAGTCAAAGGCTGCTTTTTCCTACTGGGTTGCAATGCTGAATCAGTGTACCTCAGGGACCTAAACAGAACTGATAGTGGTTTTTGATTTGGGGTTACCATTAGGTTTGTATAGAACATCTTCTAGATGTAGCAGCCTATATTAAGCTGATGATTGCATAAGTTTGAACTCATTCTTTAGTCCTCTCCCACCCATGTTTTAGATATATGGAATGATATTTTACATTATTTTATTTTATTAATTCCTTGACTGATTTTAACAGAAAGCTTTTTGCAGATTTGTGTTTTCTACTTTTCATACCCTTACTTATGGTCTTTCCTCTCCACTCAAAGAGTCTCCTTTAATATTTCTTAAATGGCTGCTTTAGTGGTCATGAACTCCTTTGGTTTTTGTTTCTTTTAGAAACTTTTGTCTCTCCTTCTATTCTGAATAATAGTCTTGCTGAACAGAGTATTCTTGGCTATATATTTTTCCCTTTCAGCACATTGAACATATCATGCCACTCCCTTCTACCTTGTCAAGTTTCCATTGAAAAATCTCTTGCTAGCCTATGGGTTTTCCTTTGTAAGTTATGGACTTCTTTTGTCTTGCTGCGTTTAGGGTTTGTTATCATGATATTTTGCTAATTTAATTAAAATGTCTTGGTGTTGGCCTGCTTTTGTTGATTTTGATGGGACTTCTCTGTGCCTCCTGGATCTGGATGTCTGTTTCCTTCTCAGATTAGGGAAATTTTCAGCTATGATTTCCTCAAATAAATTTTCTGCCTTCTTTTCTCTCTCTTCTTCTTCTGAGATCCCTGTACCATGACTGTTATTATGCTTGATGTAATCACTGAGTTTCCTAAGACTATTTTTACTTTGCATAATTTTTTTCTCTCATTTATTTAGCTTGAAAACTTTCCATTATTTTGTCTTTTGTTTCATTCATTCCTTCTTCTGTTTCTTCCAGTCTGCTATTTATTCTATAAAGTAAGTTATTAGTTTCATTTATTGTGTCCTTCATCCCTGATGGATTCTTTTTAATCACTGTGTCAGGAGCCTTACTGATACCCTCCACTCTTTTCTCAAGTCTGGTAAGTATATATACGATCATTTTTGTAAATTCTCTATGAGGCATGTGACTTATATCTGTTTTGCATAGGTCTCTTGCTGTGGTTTTGTCCTGTTCTTTCATTTGTGATATATTCCTCTCTCTCTCATTTTGCCTCTCTGTTTCTGTTTCTGTGTTTTAGGAAAGTCAGGTATGTCTTGTTACTGAAAGTAGTGAACAGGACATGTATTTTTAACTATATGGTGCTGGTTCTCCTCCAAAGGGGACTTACAGCCACTTTAGAGACTGGGCCAGCAGGGGCCACTCCACAACATGGGCATGAATGGGGGAACAGTCCTGTAAGCTGGACACCCCAGTCCTCCAAATGGGATGCAAGTGGCTATGGAGACTAGGGCTAACTAGGGCTGCTCTGCAAAGAGTGCACAAATGGGTGTACAGTGCTGCAAGCTGTGTGCCTGGGTCCTCCTCTACAGAGGATGTGCATAGCTGCAGTGGAGACTGGTCTAGTGAGGGTAGCTCCACTAAGCATGCAGGAGGGTGTGTGTATAGTTTTAAAAAGGTGTGTGGGTCCTCTGTGGGAAGCCAAGAGATTCAGTGTTGGCAAGGTTTGTGTGGGTCTTCTGGGAGAGGGCATCTGTGGCCCCACGCCTGAAGTAGGTCTGGTAGGAGGAGATGGAGCTTGTGTAAGCAAGTTAGGTAGTGAATGCCCATTGTGCTGGTTCCCACAGGTAGCTATGTGTTAATGCTGAGGGGTGGGAGATGGGATAACTGGCATCTGTAAGCTCCTTTGTTCCTGGAGAAGTCGCAAACTCTGAAATCAGTAATTAATTCTCCTATAAGCTCATGCACCTTCCAAACGGCTTGATGCCAAGCTGTATCTCCATGAACTATTTGCTGCACTATCTATTTAAAGGTGGGAAGTCAGCTTCCTATAGCCCTCCAGGCTAACCCAGAGCCCCACCTGCTGATTTTTAAAATTTCAGGCCTTTAAGTCTTACTAGTTGTAAGCACTCGTGACATTCAGCCCCTCTGATTTTCAAAGCCAAATGTTATGTGGATTCTTCTTCCCCTTCTAGTCTCCTCAGTGTGATAGCTTCTTTCTCACTCCTTTCTACACCCATAGCCCCTTCCCTTCAGCAGCCAGACATCCTGGATTTAGGTTTCCACCTTGTCCTCACCCTTCTTATCCACTTGGATGTGGCCTCTTCTGAACATTTAGTTGTGGAGTTTGTTTGGCTAGTCTTTGGGTAGTTTTCTGGGTTGTTTGTACTGATTTGAATGTTAACTAGTTGTATCCATGGGATAAGGTAAGTTTAGGGTCCTCCTTTTCTGCCATCTTCCCTGGAAGTTTAATCTTTTATATAAGTATTAATATGGGTATTTATTGCTATCAACATTCCTCATAAAACTACTTTAGAATTTGATATATTGTGTTTATATTTTCATTTGTTTAAAGATACTATTTTTCCCTTTTGATTTCTTCTTTGATGCATGGTTGCTGGGAAGTCTGTGGCTGAATTTCCTCTTATATATGAATTTTCCAATTTTCCTCCTCTTATTGATTTCTAGTATCACACCATTGTTGTTGGAAAAGATATATGATATGATTTAAATTTCTTAAATCTAAGACTATTTGCATGACATATCATATAATCCACCCTGGAGAATATTCTTTCTGTGCTTGAGAAGAATATGTATTTTCCTGCTTTGGGATGAAACATTTTATATACGTCTATTAGGTCCATTTGTTCTGAAATATGATT